CTTTGATACTAGCTATTCTGAATATAATTGATAATTTGCTTTTGCTACCTTATGTCACAATTTTAGTACTCCTGTTAATCTTTGTAAAGAATGCTTACATGTTAAGCATTAGGAAGAATTAGACCAACATAAAGGATACTGTAGTGATTATGATACTGCATTAGCATATTCACCAAACACTGAACTTACTTCAGAACTGAACCCTATTCACATTGAACCTTTTACCAAAATGCAACTTCAGTTGGATCAACAAGCTCAACTTATCCAACAATTGCAAACACAGATTTAATCTCTGCAAGATGCCAATATGCAAATTCTACAATTCTTTCAAAACCATTTTCAACATATAAGGCAACAAGAAAATATTCTTGAAACTCTTTTGAGATCTCAAAATTTTTAAATAATCACAGGCAAGATGAAAAACTACCTGATGATCCAGACAAACCTGAGACAAATTCTAGCAACCTTATACCCCAAATGGTGTGTTTTATTGAAATTTGTATTCCTTATAAAGAATACATCTTGACTTCTGAAATAGCTGTAAATATTGAACCCTTACAACCAGAACAAGGACAAAAATTTAGAACACTATTAGAAGAATTTTCAGACCTTTTTGCATCAAATATAACTAAATTAGGCCATACTAATTTAATTACTCATAAAATTTATACAGAAGATGTTTCTTTTATTCGATCACACCTTTATTTAATGCCATCTACAGAACAGATATTTATAAAAGAAGAAATATAATGGATGCTTGATAAGAAACTTATTAGACCTTCTAGTAGTCTCTGAACTTCTTCTGTTGTACTAAAATGAAAGAAGAATGGAAAATTATGTTTTTGTGTAGACTATAGAAAACTTAATGCTATTATGAAAAAGGATGCATATCCTTTATCTCGAATAGATGAAATGCTTAATGCACTTGCTAGATCAATGTGGTTCTCTACTCTAAATCTTGCTAGTGGATATTGGCAAGTTGATATAGACCCTAAAGACTGTGAAAAGTCTGCTTTTATTACTCGATATAGCATTTACAAATTTAATGTAATACCTTTTGGACTTTGCAATACTCTAGCAACCTTTCAAAGATTAATGAACTGAGTTTATGATGGAATTGTATAGAAATTTGTAGTGGTATATTTAAATGATACTATTGTCTACTCAAGAACATTTGATGAGCATCTTGAACATTTACAAAAAGTCTTTACTTGAATTCGAAAAGCCAGACTATGTCTTAATATTGAAAAATGTAACTTTTAGATGCAGAGCCTACCCTTCTTAGGCCATATTATATCTGGAAATGGAATTGCTCCAGACCCTCAGAAAA